TCCAAGAAGTGTCAAGTCCTCAAGTCTGGTGGTTCTCAAAGTCCTCAAAACTATAAGTGGGGGACGTCAGATGTTCCCCCACCTCCCATCCAACGACGCCCCCTGCCTAACAGCCTGACATTCCTAGAGACTGAGGGAAGACCACAGCTACATGTATGTTACACATGCTGGAATAGTAAAAACATGCTTCGGATCAGTGATGGGGCTTGGTGGAAGACATGGGTGAAATAGAGGGCAGTACTACTCAGAGAAAAAAATATTATGGGGGCTACTTTTCGAGTTTGCTTGCATGAAAATTACACTATTCAATTCGTTTTTCATTAAACTCTATGCAATTGGGGGGGGGGGGGCTCTTTTATGAATTTTGTGGGCTCTTTTAGGCATTTTGGGGGCAAATTCACCAGAGCTTCGTGTAATTTTTTCCCCTCATACTACTTGTACATGCACCAGTCCAGAGCTGTTTGGCAAACTTTTAGTTGGTCACAACTTGGCGTATCTTCTTCTATACCGTGCTTGCCTAACAAAGCAGTACGCGCCGTATTGGGCCCAACTCAAACCGGGTTGGCCAAACTCTCCTACTGAATTGCTCTGCAGCACACAGGCGAGGGACATTCTTACCGGTACTCTAAAACTTATCTATGGGCCTTTACCATAAGTTACAAATCTTTGAGTGGATCTTGAGTGTACTAATAAAATACATGTACATTGTAGATATATCTTCAAACCAGGAAAGGGAGAAACTTGTCAGAGCAGTTACATTGTGTAAATACTCTTGTGGCCCTCATTCATTCATTACTCACTCAGAAATAGAATTATTTGAGCTGAATGAATGTATGACTGGTGACTGGTTTTGCCCACATCCATTGTTACAAATGTGTGGTGGTGGTGGATCCACTATAGAACTAAAAATAACAATCAAATATGCCGTGGTGCCGTGCCAAAGAAAATATACATGTATCTGTGAACAATATCAAGTTCAGACACAGTACACAATCCTTGTACATGTACATTATACATGTACTTGTGAATCTGAAGAAAAAAACCAAGAACATGTACATACACATGTATATTGATAAAGTGGTACCATTTTTGGACATTCTTCAATTTACATTAATTATGTGTTAATTAGGCTGACAGTGTACAATGTACATTGTACACTATCTCACTTTGCACTTTGTGTTCTTGTTTTAATTACAATGTAGGGTCCATGTTTGGGAACCATAGTAGGCCTACACATAAAACATGTACACGTAGGTGGCCCTGTGAGTTGGGGCTGTGATTGGATCGGAAGATTGGAGCGACACCCTCGCACCTTTGATCGGTATCGGTTCAAAAAGATTCTTTTTAAGTTTGCTTTTTACTGTTGTACTTGAAATTTTCATTGATCGGCGATCAGCATTTATTATCCGATTTCACCTGATCGTCCGACGATTGGCCCCTGTTCCAATCATTTATTATAGGGTTACACTACACTGTAGGCCTTAAATGTACATACATGTACATGTACATTGTAAGTACATGTTCATACATGTACATGTACATTGTAAGTACATTTGTAAATATACTCATGTACTGTACATGTATGCATATACTGTGAGTACTGCACATTGGATACATGTATACAGTACATTATGTTCATTGGGTGTACCATACTATACATTGTACAAATACATACACACATGTTTGCAATGCATGTTTGCCTGTGCATGATACAGTTGTATGCTATCATGAGTTTCTTGCTTAGTATTCTTCATGACATCTCTGTCTCTATGACTCATCCTATCCAACCCCCAGCCAGCCAGCCAGCCAGCCAGTCAGTCGGTCGGCCAAAGCACTACAATGTAGCCTCAGAGTACCAGTCAATCAATCATCCAACAACCAATCAAATATGCAGTTCAGGGTTTTTATTATGCTCCATTATGCACTAAATATCATTTACTAACTACCGGGTATTGCAGATTCGAGTCATGCATGTGCTATTGTATTTTCGCTTGAGTACCTCCATATAATGTACATATGCTCTGCTTATGGGGGTGAGGGGGAGGCATCAAACATTGCACGGTATCAATGTCATGACCAAGCATTTTACATGCATGAAGGAGAAAGAAAGAAATCACGTTTACATAGATCTAGTTACAACTTTTTTTACAAGCCTATGAAAAACAAATTTACTCTTCCCAAACGAAACTAAATGCAAAGCATGAAAGTACATGTACAGTGTATGTATGTTGTTGCTAGGAACTAGGCCTTGTATATTGCTAGTGACCATGTGTGTTCAGTTTACAAATAGAAAGAAAACTAGACATATAATACTTGTTTGGAACAAGTATAGGTGGGCTGGTCAACTAACATTTGAGACAAAATAGGGCAAAAATAAGCGACATACTGCTTACAAATTCTTAAAAGACAATATCATGTAGATTCATAACGTGAACTAAATTCACCTTCTATAGGCATAACACGCAAATTATGAAGTTTTTGACATGAGGCCTTTAATCAAAATTTTCACTATGATGACGTCATCAAAATGAAAAATGGTTATTACTGCGCTTGTAGAGAATTGTCTTAGCTACAACATATCGAAATTTTGAAGAAAATTGATCAATATTTACAGAGATACAATCAATTTTACATAAATATGCTGACGTCATAATATGCAAATTCGTATTTTGAGTTCCAAGGCCATTGTGATGATGTCACGATACACTTAATGGCCAAATGAGACATGGAATCATTTTTCCGACTCATACTCTATCTTAATATGAAAAAAAATTGAGGATCCTGGTGCATTCCAAAGAGCTATAACGGATTTTGTATAGGCATGTTTTTGCCCATATATGCTATGTATTAAAAGACCTCGCGCGCACTGACATTTATCTTGAATTTACGCTCATCTTGTTAATAATGGTCATAAAGAGATAAACATGGAATCAAATTCCTTGAAAAAATATGAGAAATATCATGAAAGAAAAAAAAATGGCGATTCTATGTTTTTTAATGGTGTTACGCGCGAAAACGCGCGCGCATGCTCGTACGCGCGATTTTTTATAAAATGCTTAAAATGACCTAAAACGTATGCAAAATAAATTTAAGACGATTTTAAGCATTTAAAAATTTTGCGCGCGCATTGACGCGCGGACGTACGCGCACGCGCGCGTTTTTTGACCTGAAATTGACTGGACTGATATTGACCTTGATCATAATAAATATGAATGAGAAATACCTTTTGGTTATGAAGATATGATCATGAGTTTATTTTCAGAAAATTTCACAAAATGGCGCCTAGATGACGTCATCAGTCAAGGTCAAGGTTGAAAACCTTACTGTGTTTTGTCCATATGCCTATACATATGTGTGCCAAATATCAAAGCATTTGATTAAACCATTTTCAAGATATCTTGTTAACAAAAAAGTGGTTAGAAATAAAATAAATAAATAATAATAAAGGCAATTTTAACAAAATTATAAGGTGGTCTGTATAGATACAGCCCACCTGAAAATAAGAAAAGGTGTGTATTGTATATACATGTATGTACATTACATGTATGTCTCATAAAAAATGAGTAAAATTGAAAGCCCACATATATAGGAAACAGTGTAGGCTTTACCCTATCAAACTCAAGGTCTATATTCCTGCATAATAAAGTTCTCTATACTGTACTGTATGGAAATGTACAGCTTTCTTGCTCATACATTGCTTGGTCTTTTTTAAGTTTGCAATATTAACGACACAATTTATTGCTTTGTAATATGTACATGTATACTGTACATGCAAAAGAACAGAAGAGCAATGTCTTGTACAAATATATAAAATGATTAAAATCACATGTTTAAGTTTATTAATGTACATGTGTAGACAGACACTATTTGACTGAACATCCACTACATGTACATATATATATATATATATATATATATATATATATTTTCTCTCTGTGTCACCCACATACACACTGTACACTCTAAATTTGCCTGAGTGCATATCTAGCCGCGGTATTCAATGAGCTGTTTTCATAATGATAAATTGACCGTGGCCGATCCCCGAAGAGACCGTATTTGACATTTCTCTCCCAAGCTTTTCACTTTTCATCTAACGCGCATCATGATGGATGTTTACGAAAAAGTCTCGGTGCACTGGTGGCGTAGAGCTGCCCCGGAAAATAAAAAAAGCCCAGATGAGCTAGCGCAACCCAATTCCCGGCCGACCGAGCCTGCCTGTGCTGGAGGGTTCGGATTACAGACTAATATTTCGTAAAGTCACTTTTAATGAAGCGCACCCTGGATGAGAGGCAGGTGGGGAGTAGCTCAATCAAGACATAACCTTTTCACACACTCATGATCTACAGTGTAGCTTCAAAGTAACACACTTATTCAAAAAGAGCTAAAAAGCTATGTACTATATGTATGCTTTCAGTGGGGGAAGGGGGGGGGGTCATTAACTTTGAAGTGCTACCGTAATTTAAGCAGAAACTACAGCCAAAAACCCACAAAGAAATACTAACAAATAGGAAAATAAAAAATATAAAAAATGCATGTTTCCAACAATTTAAATATAATTTTGAACTTTAAGAAAGTCAAAAGAATGAACAACTTTAGCAAGGTGACAATGACATGTACAAAATAAATAGAAAAGGAAATTTTACAAATTCAAAACTTTTTAAAAATTGAAAAAATGAAAAAGTATTTGAAAAGCTATCAGATGAACATTGTGCACTCTTGAAACATTTGTAGAGTGTAAATGTTTGAATTTAAACTTACTATAGAAAATAACATTACCATAAAATGAAACCGGTACATGGATTGGTCATGTATCAAGAAAGGGCAACAGTGTAAGGATTTTTTTTAAATGCTATTATCGTTTGGTGTTATGTATTAAAGCCTGTTCATGATACTATTGTAAAAGTAGAGAATTATTTCTTTTAATATTATTTAGGCTAATGTACAGCATTTATTAAATCCTATAATGCATGTGATGAAGACGTGATGAAGGTAATACTTACATCTTGCGTTCTCTCATCCGGGTTGCGTTTGAGGCAGCGTATAAAGTGGACGTCGATGTAGACACTCATATTGTCCCCTCCGTACGCTACCGACGTCCTAATGTCTTCAAACTTCTTCAGTTTGGCTACTCTCCGTTGTACGGCTCCTTATATAATCCAATATGGACGAGTGTTCAGTGTTTAAATAGTCCCTTGTCAGCTCACTTTCCCTTTTGACATCATTTGATTTCTTATATCGAGTTCAGTTACTGAAACAGATTGGTGAAGTTATGTGCACTGTACTCATTTAGAGCACAGATGCGGATACTAGTCGTTGGATTATCTTAAAGGGTGTGCTCAATATTCTAATCACCAAACTGTACAAATCACTCCACAAATTCAATATCTATTGAAGTGAGCTGCTTTTTTTTAAAATACAGAGCATTTATCATTATCATCAGTTTTATCACCAACTGCTAAACTGCTGCGCTGTATTCCCAGTTTACACATTAGCAGCCATCCCGAGCAAATTCAGGAGATCACGGGAAGCAGAAGACAATTTGTAGTCGGCATGGAAATGTAGAATATGCATGGTGGCGCCGCGAGAAACTTCTTCAGTCTGTTGATCATGAAGTCTTTCCATGTCAATAGCAGTACAGTGGTTCAGGAGTCACTCATCAGCTATCGAAAGAATGCTGCATGTGTATGGAGATTGCTTAATCAAAACCACTTATTTTTAGAAGGGCAGTTCAATGGACATGCAATAACGTCGATGCAGCTTTCTTTGTATCCAACTTGATAAGTTCAAAAATAAGAGGGATTTTGTTTCGCTTTCTCTCTCCGATCCTCAGTCAGCACTAATGCTTGGTTCAAATCTGTACGTGTATCTCTCTCTACTCCTGTTTCTTGGCTGTGATGCGCAATGGAACCATCAATTGGGTAGAAATCACTTGTGCAGCTTCCCCATTCTGTAACAGATAAAATGAGAAACAGAATCAGATCAGGTCAGAAACTTCACAGGTACTACGATTATAGTGAACATCACAAATATTGGTCTTTTCAAATTTGTGTTCATTCACAGCAAATTATAATTTATCTCATTTAAATCCATATGAGCCATAACGGCTTCTGTGTGGACAGTACAGTATGCTAGAAGTTCTAAATAATAAAAAGACATAACAAAATCAACAATTCTGGTTATTTCTCACTCTTTGGGTATATCAATTATCATGTACAGTACACAAGTGGTGTATAAGTCTGCTCACATGTACATGTACATGCACAACATTTAACATGATTGATATTGCAGGCCTTAAATTTCGTCATTTTTAGGGCAAGGCCAGTTTGGCCTTGAGTACCTCATATTTTTAAGGGCACCAAGGCCAAAATATTTTTACAAAAAGGGCATCGAGGCCAAAATATTTTACAAAAAGGGCATCGAATATGAGGCCAAAAAAATTGATTCTATTTTTGTTAGATGTCATGTGTATTTTATGAAACTTGTGCGGGATCAATTTCCCATGACTTTTAGCACCAGCTTCTTCACAGAATGTATAGAGGTCTACGGTACATACAAACAAGGCGGCGGCCCGCAAGCCTTAGATTTAGCAGCCAGGAGCAAGGGGCAATTTTTTTTTTAAGTTGCCCTTTGCCACGGGAATTTACCAGAGCAAGGGGCAATTTTCCAAAAACAGAGAGGCCCCTTATCTAATCATAAGTTCAAAGAGAGTCTACAAATGTTAATTTCATAATGTGAATAGATCGAACGATCAATTTAATAACTTTTTAATCTTAACAATATGAACAGGAAAGATTGATTAAGAACATAAAACTTGCGCATTAAACAGTATTTTAAAGTAACTAAAAATATTGATGAGCAAATGAATAAATAAATTGTCAATTTCACAAACATCGAAAGTCAACTCAGAAGGACTTGGCAAGTTTACCGGGCCAGGTATCCCAAATCAAAATCGCACCTCACACACAAACCTTCCGCCACTCTCTCGGTAGTAGGAGCAAATTTGAAGAAATTATCTTTTTAACTGTTGTATAGAAAGGTCTAGATAGGCCTAACTAATGAAATAAGATGTAAAAATGTCCTTATAGACATTCGACAGCTGAAAGTGACACGCTCAGCTCAGTTGCGTAACGTGCATTCACGAAACCAAAATCGTTCCTCGCACACACACTCTCGCCACTTTTGGTGGGAAGCTGTCGGGCTGGAAGTTTGCCAGCGAAACCGATGCACCCTCGGAGATTCGCAGCGCGTAATTTTACCGGGACTCGAAACGTTCGTCTTGCTTGGGAAGCTGGCGGGGTAGCTTTTTGAAGCGAGGTCAGCTGGTGGCAAAATGAGAGTAACTACGATCGAGAACATCGTAGGTGTTCTTAACTTATTAATAAGATAATTCTAAATTCTATTTGAGATAAAATAATAAACTAGACCTACAAACAAACCTCGACAGATCTCTAATGACTATTTGAATGCTTGTTTATTTCTCCATTTGACGATTTGTTTTCTTGATCCTGGCCTTTGATTTGTACGTACGTGCGTGCGTCAACAGCATGCACTATATACAAATCATGCGATCGCATGAACGTACGTACGTGCGCTAGCGCATTGCCTATATAATAACAAAGGGCGCATTTTCACGGCACTTGCGCCTTATTAAAGCACTAAATACGAAGCTAGAAGAGAGCTCGTGGGCGGCAAACTGTTCGTGATTCGTGTATCTTTACTGTTCTAATAATTTATGGGCGCATTTTCACGGAAAACACTTGCGCCTTGCCGTCTAGTTTTAGATGATTATGGGCGCAATTGGTGGTTTTATGTGCGCAAATTTAAAAAAAAAGGGCACGTCCAGTTGGAAAAAAAGGCACGTCGGCCAGTTTGAAAAAAAGGGCACGGCCTTTTTGGCCGTGAATTTATCTTTTTTGGGGAGGGCACCGCGGCCAGTCATAGGGGCATCGACGGCCTGGCCGTCGATGGCCGTCGATTAATTTAAGGCCTGCATTGAAACTTGGAATCAGATTACAAGTTGCAAAGCTTCATCAAACTATAATTATTCACATTAATCATTTATGATGATGAGGCGAGGGAGGAATAAATGAAAAAAGGAAATAGCAAAGTCTGGTACCATCACAACTAATCCTCAGACGAAGAAGGTTTCACTTTTCTTGTCACGATGCCAAGATCAATCATTTTTTAATATTTTGCATTATTATCCGCACCGGCCCTCTCAATAAAATATGACGAGGCAATTTCCTGAAATTCACCATTGTTGCAAAGTATTTCCTGAATGATAATGAATCAAGATCTTTCTTAGAGCGTTGTATCAAGTACATATACCATGTACTACAATGTAGTACATGTAATACATGTACAGTTGTAGTACAGCTTTCGTTTTTATACTAGTCACTAGACTGTCTTTTCTTTTCTTTTCTTTCACAGTGAATGAGTATTTTAAACATGCAGAACAGGCTCAAAGTGAATTTCAAATCACTGTTCATATTCATGTACTTATAGCATAACGTTATGATTTATAAGAATAGCTAAAGACCAGAATATTTTCTTCTCTTATTCTTCATATGTATTGTGCAATGTAAATAAGAGTTTAAATTATATTTGGTATCTGAGTGTGTGGTATACTTTGACTTTTTTCTTTTAATACTTATATATTAAAATGAAATTCATTTATTTTTATATTTTCCTCATCCTAATTTATTTCATTATTTACTTCCTTCACATATTAAAAGGAAGGCAATTCACTCATAAGCCACTTTGAAGATCTTATCAGCACATGGGCACTAGGCAGATAAAATCCACCAAGAACTTGTGAAAGTTATAATGTAATAATTTTGTATTTAATGCACGGATGGTACATTCTATGAGACACAAGTGGAATTATACTTTTCAAGAGGACAAACAGAGGATACATGAAGCACCTCTATCACTTTGGCAGTGATTATTCTAAAAATGCACAAAGTGGGACTTCTCCATATTCAAGACCGGTGAATATTTGAGGGTCATTTGTACAAGTACTTTTTCCGAAGTGGCTTATTAAATGTGGTCTTCTTCAAGAAATATCATGGATAATTATAGAGGTACAAGTTATAGAGGTAATTTATCTCCTGATTGAGGTGATGCAACTCACAATCATTGGGTGACTGACAATTCTATCTTACTACAACCCCTGGTTCATTCACATGTCAATTTACATTAAAAGCACTTCATCATCTCTGTATGTCCATAAATAATATTTCTCCTTTTTTTCAATTACTCGTTGCAGCCAACAAACATTGCTCTCGCTCTACCGACTACGTTACCTGTCCATCTGCCCAGGGCTCTATCCATTAGCTTATCACTCAGACACACACACACACACACATACACACACACACGTACACACCATAGTCTGCATCCACCCCTGCTCTCATCATCCTCACATTCAATTTCATATTGGTATGGTGATACCGATAGAGATGGTTAGAGATGGAGGCCATATTTATTTTCCACAGGTAAAAAATTATTTCCAGTCAGTCAGATTCATTTATGACATTGTACCATGATGCAAAGATTAAACATGGCTTGATTTAAAAAGGTTATTCAACAAGAAAATATTTGAACATTGATTAATAGTAAGAAACTCCAAAATACAGAACATGTACAGTATGTGCCCATGTCACTCATCCCAACATTTCACTTAAGATACTAAATTTATCACTCAAAGAATTAACAATTAGTTACATGTAGGTGGGGCTTGACCCAGCCAGGATAATTAAAGAAAATCGAAGGACGGCATCGATTCTATCATTGATGCCTCAACCATTTGAAATTTTCAGGCTGCGTTTTGTGCTGTGTTTATAGCCAACAATCTGGCTGGGATTAAATCCCAATCCTTTCCCTATAAACAAAATGTTACAAAAAACCAATCAATCTCATCGTGCACAAAGACCTTATCTTTATATCATGCAGATTTGAGGTTGGCTCAATCAAAATGTAACTTCTTGCCTCATACAAATTCAAGGTCTACATCACTACATGAAATGATGTTTACGTACTGAACATTGTACTTGTGTGTAAAATATGTATGAGGTTATTTGGGATTATAACCTTGTACCACTGTACATGTACATATCAAAGGGTCATAGCAGGTTTATTGTTTGCAACAGATGAAGCGTGAATCAGCTAAGTATGCCATAACAGTGACTGCGGAAAAAAGTAGTTCAGTTCAGAAGCCGCAAGAAAAGCCCCTTCACTACACTGTATTTCAATTCATCCAGAAAGGCCTGTAATGGTAAATGTACCTACATGTACATGTACATGTACACTGTATAAATACTGTATACAGATAAATACATTTCAGTGGTTCTTTTTCGAACATCCAAAAACACTTGTGCAGTGTATAAAAACAGATATAACGGCCCTCTACACTGTACTACTACATTATCCACATGTAATATCCTGTACCGGTAATGCCAATCAAATAGTTTTTGCAGCCACTACTAACTATGCATAAGCTAAATTTAAAATGAAGAGGGGATTGACCTGTCCTACAGTATGTGCTTATTGCTAAATGTGGGAGTAGAGTTTAGAGGCCCACTGTACATGTTGTAGAGGGCAAAATGTTATTTCTATAAATTCTTTTTTTTTTAAATTGTAATCATGACTGTAATACATGTAATTCAAGAGCAAAAGGATTACAACTACGGACTATTCATGGAACTAGATTGATTTAAAAATGCTCTTAATTTTGAAAAATATGAACGTCCCAAATTTAACCCTTGACCTGCATCCTAAAATTCCTACAGTATGCTTGTTCTTCCAGTCTGTTACAGTCTACCATTGAATTTAGAAGATCATGCTTGTCATTTAATGAGGATAAAGTGCAAGTATAACTTTCTTGCAGATCAACTGCACAATTACAAAACAATACCGACGAAGGGGTGCGGGCGGCCCCTGTAGGCGTGAGGTTAGCGGTCGTAATAAGTCGATAACTTCACGCACGCACCCATTCGTTGGTACGGTATGCAATTGTATTGTAATTGTGCAGTGGTTTGCCATGAAACCTGTGAGAAAGTGTATATAATAATGTCCTCGTTTGTTGGAAAAATACTCCAAAAAAGATAAGAAAATTGACCAAAACAGGTAAGAAACATTTATAAGAACTTTTAAATCATGACCATTATCGGCCGAGTTACGGGTCAAAAAGGGATACGAAAGTACACTAACGCCGAAAAGACTAACACAGTAACACTGAATTACAATGTAGCCTAGATCTAGATTACTTTTTAGCCTTTGACGTGTTTGAAATGCTACGGTTTTGCCGCTTCATATCTGAACGAGCCTTTACTAGGATCTAATTTATGTTATGTCTGTTAAGTTATAGATCTATTTTCTAAATTTTTGCTAATCTAAGATTAAGTAAATTAAATTAAAGTTGCATGCAGCATTTTGTTGCATTTGAAAAAAATTGAAGACTTGAATTTGAATTTGATCTCCAAGAGTCCAACAAAAAAAGTAGAGAAGACGATGATCAGACATGCAATTTTGTTTCTCTTGTGCAAAATTATTGTTCAACAAATTACCCTAATTGCTATCATGTTGGGGAACTGAATATGATATTAGATTCGCTCAGCTGAGCCGTGATGTCTGATAAATTGGTAGACATTGTCATTGCAAATAGTTTGGCTACAACACAGTGCAGTACACAGCTGCCAAGCCCATTCTCAATTCACCCGCACCCACCCGCTTACAAGAAGCGACTTTATGCTGGTAGTGGTCACAGTGGTAGCGTCTCTTCCCGAAGATTGCTCGCTAAAACTTACCCAATCGTGGTCTAAATTTAAGAGAAAACGTTGACTCTTATCGGACTGCCTGAAGAAGAGGTCATCCTTACGTATAATTCCAATCATTTAGAATCCAAAATGGGTCCAAATTCCCTGCAAAAATAGGTAAATAATGGCGTTTCCTTGCCGATAAATGGCTTCCTATCTCCGACCGCAAGACGGGCATTTGACCCAAATGGATGTGCTAGATGTACACAACAATAGCTTGTTGTTTTCACGTCGTACGGAATTACTAGAAGCGCTAAAAGTACGAGTGCTAAATTTCACCACCTGTTCGTTTATACACAAATGCGGTCGGGGTTTCTGGAAATACTTAACAACTCCATACGAAATAAATTTTGAAAGAATTTGTTTCAAAGTTCAAACGTTTGGTCAATCAACTACCGAATTATCAAGAACGAAATTGTATTTGAAAAGTATTTGGTAAAGTTGAATAGTAGGAAGCTAACACTTTGTATCGATTTCGAAGGTTTGAAAGGAATCCCGAAGAAAGTAAAATTGAATGCCCTTGTTGTAATTTAAAGGTTTTTAGAGATAAATTTCACTATAATTTGTTTGTCCTTTTTCAAGAAAGAAAGACAGTTATATTTAGATCGACAGTTTGTTGTAAGTAACCTTAGCACATTTTACATGGACAAATTGTTTAATAGATTTAGTGTTAAACAATTATGAAAACTATAAGATTAAAAACAGTAATAATACAATTTTTTTCGTTGGATCCTAAGCCGGCATAGTCCTATTTTTGTGAATAAAAATGTAGTTAGCATAGTGGTAAAAAAAAAAAAACACGTGATATTGTAGACTTATAACTATAAATTGTATATTGTATACTAGTTTTTAGTTCACGTTTAATGTTTTTTTTTAGAAATATAAATATGTATTTTATCTTGTCTCTGTATTTATTTATATATCTTTCTGTATTGTATTGTAAATATGTCGTGCTCTCATACTCCTGAAGGGGGGGTCGATGTTCTATCTTTAGTGATTCAGAATATTATTTAAAGTTTACAGCCATATAGCTTGGACTGTACCAAAAGCGACTCTTTCAAGTTTTGCCCCGTTCTTGGAAAAGTCAAGAGACAGCAAATACCAATGGACTTGCCCATGAAAGCACTTCTCAATCTGTAGTATTTCAATTTCGAGATGATCACTACATTTGCTAATTAGGTAATCCGACACGTTTTTTTTTAATATGATTGTACTTCGCTGTTCAATCGGTTACATGATTGTCATGCAGGCTTATATAGCCGAAGTTGCATAACTCAAACTGGCCCCTATTTGTGAAGAAAACAGAAAGTTTTTATATTATCGCCCTCTTTCTTTCCGACCCAAAAATAATGGAATGCAAATTGTAGGCTTACAGTATTCCATCTTTCAGAGAAAAGGGGTGTGGCGGGGATATAAAAAAATCCAATCTCCAATGCATACGATTTGGTTATGAATCCGTTGAATCGGGGGTGGGGGACTTTGCAATTTTAATTTATAAAAAAGATATCTATATATATTTATAGCAACACCCTTCGATGAATTATGCATTTTATTTTGCGAGGTCATCTAGAGACCAAGCGAGATAATTTTATGTTTTTCAGTTTGGATCCCAGTGGTATAACACGTTTGATCACAAAGGTAAATCAAATTCTGAGTTTAATATTCCTTTGTCCTCTCTTTAATGGAAAGGCAGCCATAATTTTTTTTTTTAATAATTACCCGATTCCGAGGGACAAATCCTATCCATTTACATAATTTCTAAGGTTTACAGAATTTGTAAGGTTTACAAAATTGTCTTTACTGATTTAAAAGGGCGATCCGACCTTTGTAATAAATTCATTTTTATTGGAGCATAAGAATAAGAGAAACAGAACGACGAAATTTTAATTAAATCGGATCATTGTAATTATGATATAGGTTGTATATAAGTTTGAAATATAATTGATTTTTTTTTTTTTTGCCTAAATACAACTTGGCAATGCAATTTTTGTTATCGTATTAAAAAATCTTTTAATATTCAGAAAACCCGTATTAAATGTATATCCCTTTTTTTAAATCAAAATAAATCTAACTATGTTAACTATATTTCACTGTTTTATATCATTTTTCAGCATCTTTTATCATATTTATATCGTAGTTAAAATTATGTGATATTTCTTTACAATATGTGTTTTAAAACCAACTTATAACAAACTTTATATTTACGTATACATGCATACAAACTCATATGGTTGATCTCTACTCGGTGTGTCATCAGTAATTCTACTATTTTGTTATTCTTTATATGATATATGTTTTCTTATGTTTACTTTGTATTTTTATTGTAAATGCACGGCCCCATTGTGAAACAGCCTATAGAGCTGAACTGGGCTTTTACCGTGAATAAATAAACGAATCAAATCAATCAAATGAAAAGAGTTATCATGTTTGAAATATGAGATCACTAAATCCATGCGAATCTCATTTGCAATTTGGTCAGTGGTTTGTGACGTAATCATAACAGCGCAGCCTTCCCACTTGTCCTGTATACAAATATCATTAATTCCTTTTTTTTTCCTTCGAGATACTACTCAAATTATGTCATGGATAGCTTATCAATAATATCATTATAGGTCCTTTACGAAGAAAAGACCCTCTTGAGTCATACATTTCGAAAAATTGACATTTTAGATATTTTTTTGTATTAAAACTAAATGGGAAAGTTGTCCGGCACTACGTCACAGTAACCGTACTGATTCGTCCAATTTGAAATGCCCATAACCTTTACGTTTAATGATTACTACTCTCAAAATTTCACTTTCATATTTTTTTCTCTTCAGAATTCGGGCACTTGTGTGTTTCTCTGATTTTGTTCTGCTTTCCTTTGGAGTATATTTGTCTGTCAAGGTTGGATTTTCCTTTAAAGGTAAACATTGTGCTCTAGCCCTATTCATTATTAACAACACTATACCTCAGTATTCTTTTTATTTCTTTCCTTTTTTCTCTAAATTTGGGACGGGGGCAAATCCCCCCTCCCCCAAGAAAGAAATACTGAGAATATGTCCCCTAGTCCCCCAAAATTTACGCCCCTCCCCAAATTTTGAATTGGAAAGAATTTCATGATAGAAGCCTGTGGTGTAAATGGGGCTGACAAGAGTACTATGAGAAGAGTCTTCATTCTCATTTGAGAAAATCATGATTAAACAAATATTTCTTGCATTTGAAAGATAAAGTTACCAAGAAACTTCAGCTAATTAGATTTCTAAACTGATTATTAAATTAATAATGAAAATGCATCTTGAAGGTACCTTTAAGATGGAATGGACTTGTTTTTACATTATCTAAATATAGTAAAAAGATCATGACCCCCATCCCAAAACAGACAAAACATAAGGACCTACACAACGCAGAAGTGAAAGGTACTTTTTTTTGTTCATTTGGCATCGTGCCAAAAAATAATTCAAATATAGAACAATTATTTATTTCATTAATTAAGAAGATATGAGAACAAGGATGAAAGGTGAATATAAATGATGTGTGATCATAACATGAATAAGCTGCAATCTCTCTCTCTCTCTCTCTCTCTCTCTCTCTCTCTCTCTCTCATCTCTTTCTCTCTCTCTTTCTCTCTCTCTCTCTCTCTCTGTCTCTCTCTGTCTCTTTCTCTCTCCCCTCCCCTCCTCTTTCTCTTTTTCTTCCCTCTCTCTGTCTCTCTCTTTCTCTTCCCCCTCTCTCTCATGAAGATATATAATTCCTTAAACCATCTCTCCTTTCTTTATCGTTGCTCTATTTCTCTTCCCCTTTCATCATCTCTTCTTCTTTCTTTCTTTATTACCCTCTCTCTCTCTCTCTCTCTCTTCGATGACACAATTAATAAAAGACTTGTTATTAAACATAAAGAACATTACTGTTGTTGTTAATGCTAATTTTGAAATGTATAAAGCACGACATGTGAAACAACTACTGGAATTTTGAATTACTACAAATTGTCAAATCATACCGTTATGGAAATAGGAAAACCTTGGAGCAATACACGTGTTATCCTGAGATGGCGCACTTCACGTTTCTAGCGGTGTGAGCTTCGTGCGAGCACCGTGCAAATCAGACGCTTCATCATTGCTGTACATGGATATTGAAAACATGTAGTATTATTTTGGTCATCCTTTCCACAGTATCCCCAATTATTACTTTATTAGTTTGTTAAAAATGTGTGCAAGTTTATATTTTAGATTGATAAGGCAAGACAGGAAGGGTTAATATGTTTACAGAGCCGGTCACTGGCGCTATACAAGAAGCTTTCATCATCGTCATCATCATCATTGTTTTCATGAAGTGACGATAGAGAGGAAAATCGTCACGCAAAGTGAATGCAATTTATTTTTCACTACCGTCACTTTGTGAAAACAGCGATAGACTGCCCATATTGTCCTTTGAAGTCGACGTAGAGGGATTGAGGAATGATCAGACCAGCTTTCAGATCGAGAATATCGTCTCAGTCGGGGGTTATTTGGGACTTTTAGATTTGCGTCGACTGATACGGCCCCCCCCCCCTGGGGAAAAAAACGTGTAAAATTTTACCTTAATTTTACCTTAATTTTACGTTAATTTTACCTTTTTTTGGAGATGCCCCCCCCCCCTGGCGCCCAAGGGGGGGGGGGGGGTGCAATTTTTCAAATTTTCAAGGGCCAAAAAAAAAAATGTGCCCCACTACCCCCCCCCCCCTGAGCGAATTTTCGGCCGGACAGGGGCGGTGGAGCGACTTCCAAAGTTGGGGGGGGGGGGCACAAAAAGGGCACATACTAAGGGAAATATCGAAGCGAAAATATACAATTTTTTAGACATTGGTATATACCCCTACATTGTCATTACATTATTAGGGATGATTTTACTATTTGTTTCTCTTTATACACCAAACAATATATCGCACATGAAAAGGGGCACCGTATGAGAATGAAAAGGGGTCACTCACAATAAAGGAAAATTTGCGTTAGTTGAAAGAAAAGGGGCAACGATCAGATTTTAATAAGGGCATTTACCAAAGGTGAAAGGGAGCTTTTTATGAGAAGGGGGAAGTATATTAAAAAGAAAAAGAGGCACATGTTAAAATAAACGGGGCACTTATCAGAGATATAAAGGGATAATTATGAGAAGGGGAAGGGGCACTTGTCAAAGTAAAAGGGGCACCTTTCAGATTTGAAAAGAGCAATTATCAGAGATGAAGGGGGGCACTTATC